TAATTGAAATTAAACAATCGCCATAAAGAAATGCCACAAATTACGAACGTGATCGAACCATGTTATAGTTGAATTGTCGAGAAAGTACGGTGCATTTAAATTCTAGAACGAAGCGAAACAAGTATTTAACCCTTTGCACTCGGAGCGATATTGTTGCAAAATAGGCAAACAAGAATCGAGCCATATTAGATGGTATTATGAAATTATATTGTATATTATAATATCGAATAATTATATCATTTAATAATTCATAGAAATAATTATATATAAATGATATTTCGATATATGCTCATCTCTGATATGTTTATCTCAAGGGACATATCTCTGACGTGAAATGACGATATTTATTCATCAGATCGGATTAGTTCTTTTTTTTTTTTTACTTGAAATAATTTCAATTTACAAACTACTAAACATACACATACGTTGTCCCTAAGTATGTTAAGCGTCGATCCTTCACGCAATATCTTTCCGTGTTACATCTCAACCAGTACACCATTATTTTAACTAGCATTTTCAAATGCAAAACTTCGAAGAAACGTGCAACTTTGAAAAATTCGCGTAATCTTCTCCCGTATAAAATCGCGAAAGAAAGTTATCCAAACTCGCGCTGCTCTCTCTCGGGAGTGTACGATCCGAGCGCAAAGGGTTAAATCGGATTTCGGTTCTAGGCAAAAATTCGAGTTGGATTTAATATTATTTTCTCCACGTTTGATCTGTCGCTCATTTGTAGATGAACGAGATGTGCATGTTGCCGTTAACGCGAAGAGGTACGGTGGTCGTTGGTGGTAGTGAGAAAGGTGACAACGCCGATAATAATAGCTGTAGCACCTGCGGTTCCGCCGGTGACGACGGTTGCAATTGCGAAAATCCTAGCGATGTCCCTCGATTGGCTATTCGCAGTACTGTGAATAGCCCCGATGTCGATATCGGTGGCTCTAATGCGAATCCTCGCAAATCCCTAAGCGTAGAGCTACGTCAGTCTCGTACCCAGGGCATAAGAAAACTCCAAAAGTGTCTGAGCACAGCTACCAACCATTATGAGCTGGATTCCTTGTCGTTGAACAACTTTCCAACGACTTCGCAATTGTCTAGTCAGCGTAACACCGAGATGCGAAGCTATTCGTCGATCGGTCCACAAGGTTCTTCAAACTACCAGAATATTCTCTTCAACACCAGACAGTATAACAGCTTTGGTAGTATCCAAACGAATTATCATTTTTTATGCAATTATTATAAAAACTACGTAGACCGTCGATTTTGTTTCTATGTTATTGAATGAGACAAGTCTATTCTTCTCTAAGTGCTTTTTTTTCCTTCGTTTCGTTGTTAGTTTGATTTCATTCTGAACGATTCTTCTGCGTTAGGTACGGCGCTACCAGCGGAGACCAAAATACATTGAACGACGTTTGTTACTGTATTCAGTACAGCGAATGCGGAATCATTTTTGAAAAAGAATCTTTCACTTGACTTCACTTGAACATTTCTTAAACGTCCGCATAATTCGCGCATGAAATGCATTTGAGAACGTTTCGTAGATGGTTTGCGACTTGGTCGTGTTAATATCCAGGTGGCTTAAAGTTTCCGAAGAGTATAATTCATTGTAAGAATAATTACCGTACCGTATACTCTACGTACTGAAACATTTCATTCGAATTGATTGTACTGTTCTATTAGAAAATATTTATTTACGAAATGAACGTCGTTATTAACGATTAAGATTCATAAGAAACTGTCCATCTCAAGTTATCGTCTGCACAGTTATAATTTGTCATGTTTGTCTGTCGAAGAAAGAAATTGCTGGATACAGTGAGCAACTTTAATATTCGTACAATCTAGAATTTTTACTTTGTCGCTTTATAACTTTTTTTTTATAGTGAAAGATAAATGATGTGAGGTAAATGTTGCTTCGTAATGTTTCTTGCGGGATAAGTTTCAAACAAAGTAATGTCTAATTCTTTCGTTGCTTTAATATTCAAACACTTGGGTGTCCCTTACGAAGCCTATAATATTTTGCATTTCAAAGTTTTGCATCTTTCACCTCGATATGCAGACATAAATTTCATTGAAAATTTATGAAGATAAAATATACAGGTGAATTATAAGTATAGCAATAATATCAAAGAAAATACTGAGACACTGACTTAAAAAAAAAAAAAAAGGTGAAACATTGAAACGTAATTTTTTTTGTTAATTATCTGCAATATGCATCAACAGCTAAAAGCGGTCATAAAATTATTTATTTACAGAGACTTGAATAAAAAAACATTACGAATAGAATAAAAATAAACTTTATTCATTTCTTAACTGGGCCCGATATTTTTAATGTAACGCAAAACTTCAATGACGTTATCCTTCGTCGCAAACAAAGTTCTAAAGCGACAAACTAAAAATACCAAAGCGTCGTAATATTAATGTTACCCTCTGCACTTGGAAATAGATATACTGAAACGAAATTTCACGGTAGGAATACTGCATCTTTGCTTTTGCTTTTACTTTCAATCTCGTATTTATCCATACTTTTATTGAAAATTCAAATGTACGTTTAATGTATTATCAAAAGAAAATTAGAAACCAAAGAACATCGAACTATCGAAAGTCGCTGTTATCGAGATTGTTCCTCGTTATCGTATACTTTCTCGCTGTGTCCGATTAGTAAAATACTGTCTGGTTTTTGCTGAGTGTGGATATATACCTTCGGCAGACTTTACTTCTCTGCATCGCATCTTTGTTTCTTAGTGATCTGTTCACTCGCTCTTGATTAAACCACTTTCTTCAGAAAAAAAAAAAAAAAAAAACAAACAAACTAACGAACACACAATGGCACATCATGTAACTTGCGTTATTTCTATTATAGTTCTCACGCTGCACACTTCATGAAGAATATTCTTCCGCGTTCTAACCGATTTCCCTCTATCTGCCTTACTTTTCAATTAACTTTTCTTTCTCTAATAGATGTGGCCTAACGATACGTTTTAAACAAACTTCGTGGTTCAGTGTACAATCCGTGAAATATTTAATACACAGGGTGTTGATAAACATCGATCATATTGCTTACAAATCGATTCTGTTGGTACGAGTTAGGATAAAATAACGAAAATTTTCGTATAAAAATTCATGATACGAATTTTTATCCATCAGTGTTTCAGTAAATGTTGACAGCCTGTAGGTTGAAATCTATTTTCTTTTTTGTGCGAAGTTAGATGTTAAGATAATATCAACTGAAATGAAATTATTGAGAAAATGTAAAGAGAATAATACAATAATAGATTGTATTTGGAAATATACAACTTTCATTCATTTTTTTAGTACAAATCATTAATGCTGTATATTTTAAAATGATATTGTAAAATTGAATTATATTTTAGCATATAATTGTTCGTTATAAACATTGAAAATATTGTATACGACTGGATTTAATTTTATGATTCTTTTCGTGGATTTCACCATACATATTATATTTTTTCACATATCTCTTTAAGATTAACAGAGAAATATTTCACCATAAATTTGGTTCACTGTATCGAGATGAAGAATCGATTGTAAGCAATTGCGATCAGATTTTTATTGAAATCTTCTATGTGTACGCGCGCGCACATGCGTGTATATATGTATACTGACTACGTACGAAAACTTCTAGAGACTTTTTAAGGATGTTACGTATGCCTTCTTAGTGAAAAATGCATAATCACATTATTGCTACTGAAGTTTCATTCCTTCTTTACAAAGTGTGAATTGTCTGTGTTTATTATACTTTCAAAATCAAGTCATCCTTTCTTTTCGAGCTTCGAAGTGTCTCTGAGAGTGTGGAATGTGTCAAACGTACAATAATTACAGAAATAATTGGTGCTTGAATCCGATACGTCATTAGGAGAAGAAAATAATATATAGCATTATATGTATAGTATTGTAGTAATGTGATGTCCTTTTTCGATACTTCAACATTTTGACTGCCGCTCTACGTTCACAAAAGCTTGTCTCGGGGTTGGCCAATTGTAATTTCTAAATAACAAATGAAAATGTAAGATTTTAAATAAACAAACTTAAATAATTGTAAGTAGTCATGATAATTAGAAACGGTTATTATTTAATTTGTAATTTTTATGTGAGCATATCTAAAACGTCACTTTAGAACATATCTTCAGTATTACTATTTTTTCGATCATGTTACAGAACTACGAAATTCGCTATTTTTCAGTGATAAATTTTTAAGCGATTAGTGCTCTTTTAATTTAATTTTAGTGTAGGGTGTCACTTTGTTAAGGATGCCACGGCACCTCCAAGTGTCCATTAAAATTAGATTCGATTTTTGGCCTACCGAATCTCAAGACGAATTCTAATGGTATACATATAATGCTTGTAACGTAGTAAATATTCCAAACTTCAATCGATACCAAACTTCCCCACGTATCTTATAATTTCAGATAAAAATTAGGATTGATCTCACTGACAATGTATGAGTGCTGTAATTAATTTTGCTTATAGCAATACAACCGAACAAGTATGGGGCATAGTGCCTGTGATATATTTGCTTAAGATTGACTGACTTCTTCAATTTAATTACAACATTATTTTTGTTATGTGGCGTTCTAACCGATTCTATAACAGAATAGATACATCTGATCGACTTGATGAATGTTGAATTGAATGAAAGATGTTATTCTGTGAACTATCCTGTCAACAGAAATACTAGTCGTGATAGTTGTTGTTGTTGCTGTCACTGTTATTATTATTATTGTTGTTGTTGTTGTGATTATTGTTCTTCTTGACATTGCTATCGTTACTTGAAACACTGTTGATTTTTCTTTCACACTCTGACCGACTCTCTAAGCGATCCTTGTTGATTTGTAATTAAAAAAAAAAAAACAAACAAACAAACAAAAAAAAAACGCTACAATGTCAGAGACGTATACTGTCATAAACGTTGCATGCTCGTCGTAACTTGTAGGAGATTATTGGGTGTTCAATATTTAATTTTCCATTTATTTTTGGGATTGCTGGTCGGGTAGACAAATATGACAGTTCGTTTCAACGATCAAGAAGCTCGAGTATGTCGTCGCTTGAGAACATCACCACAGAAACCATCAGCTGCCTTACATTCGCAGATTCCTACACGAGAAAAAGTGGTATGTTCCAATATTTTCTATCTAATCATTCGTAGAGTTCAAAGAGATTACTTTTTAGGAAAAGTACTGTTATCAAAACTGTTTTTTTTTTTTTAATTTCTTAAGATACCAGTCCCGTACCAACACTGTGGATCGGTACATCATTAGGATCTATACAAACGGTGATTTTTAATACACCTGTTCGCGGAGAACGACACGTTCAACCGGTTGTTGTTTCTTCATGCAGTGAGTCGTTATCCTGATTAATAATGCAATTAACAGAATTGTATCGTAAGTTTTTAATACGAGACGCATTTTATTTTCCCGCAGATGGATCTACTTTTAAATTAAAGGGCTCTATTCTATTGATGTCCTTCTTAGATTGTAACGGTGCCCTTATTCCATGCTCTTACGAATCCTGGAAAGATGAGACTGTGGAGGGCAAAGATCGAAATAGTAAGTTCTGACGCTTGCTTCATTAACTTCTTGAGGGATATTAACGTACGTTTGCTTTTATATCAAAATTATATTAAAATCGATTTACTGATCAAGATTTCTTTGGTTGCATTAAATTGGTGCAAACAGAAATCCATTTAGAATTCGCCCCTCAAGAAGCTAATATAATTATGACATAATTAGAATAGACAATATGTCTACATTGTGGATCATTAATCCTCATACCAATGTCTGAAAAGACTTTTTCCCTGTACTATTATTTCTGTTTTTCTTTTTCAATTTATTATAGATATTTACCACCGAATCTCTTGTGCTCAACTATTTTTTATTAATTTTGTTATCTAGTTCTATGAAATCATGCCTAACGTATCCAATAATATATTTATTCTACTATCAAACAATTAACAATGTCAGACACGTTATATTGAAAATGTTGCGAACAAAATAAAATTATAACATTGCGTTGTTTCTTGTTAAAGAGAGTCAAGGTAAATGTACAAATAGTCGGATGTCTCCTTCGTTGAACACGCAAGTAACTACCGGAGACGGATTCGAAGATCGTCAATTTGTTGTATTAACATCTGAAAAGCAGGCGAGGGTTTTAGCGTTACCATCGCAGAATTGTCTATACAGGCAACAACTAGCTGAAACTCATATTGTCATCAAATCAGAGATCACTTCTATAAAAGGTACGTGTCTTTCTCTCTACTTTGCATTAGTCTTTTACACTTACGACTCAGTGTTCACCATAACTGCGATCCTTATATTGTTTAATAAAAATATTCGTTTGTGGTTACCGAACCGATGGACCATTAAATTTTATTATAAGTTTGTGCATATAAAATGTCTAACACGTATTACCGCGTAATTTTGCAGTTAATACAAAAGGAATACTTTTTACAGACAATGTTTGTCTCGTGTGCTACGTTTCAAATGGACATATAGCTACGTACAGTCTACCAAGCCTGAGGCCACTAATAGACGTCGATTTCTTACCTCTTATAGATTTGAGGTAAGAAGAACACGTATTTCATTAATTTAGCTTCATAGCAGTTATCGATGATATATAATAATTATACTTGCACACGGTATAGTAATGCACCATATGCTATTACAATACTGCAACATTCTACACATTGCTGAAAGTAGCGTAAAGCTCATTCTTTACTAAATATGGTTCCTTCTTTAACTAATACTTTCAATTGACTGCCTTCAAAGTGTAATGTATAATTACGATTTTAACATACACTACATTTGGAAACTTTAAACGAAAGTCCTTAATATCGTTCGAGATATGATTTTCCGTATAAGAAATTTCAACGATCTTAACAACGTCATTGTTCCTTTAAGAATTCATATCAATACCACTATTTGATACAAGCAAGCGTTATTTTTACTACTTTTCAAAGAGTAGAGTTTAACCAAAACTAAAATTAACGCTACGCGGTACCGCGGTCAGAAATATTTAAAAATATTCTGTAAAGTTATTTCCGTATTTTCTGCATTTTCTTTACTAGAAAACAAATATAAAATACATGCGAATATTCGTCTTTTCGCAAAAGGAATTATTTCATGCTGGTAGTTTATACATTTATAAGTGAAGTAAAGTACTTAGTTCTTTACAAATCATGGCTTACTCGGTCTTTGATATATGTGTAATTATGTAGCTATTTTCTTATGCCTCATACTGTTTGCACTAAACGCACAGTTTTATTCTAACATGTTGATTGTGCTCGTTTTTATATGTATATTAGCACGTGTTATGATACGCTGATACAGTAAACGAAGTTTTATTTCGAAAGCGACAAACGAACACTTTGTTATTATGAATGTAGTAGTTCCAAGCACTGTAAGTATTTTTATACGATTTAACTCATTTTTTTGTCAAAGTACAATATTTTATATAACGACTCTACGCATTAAAATAAAATGGAAATCATGAATGGTGAAAAAATTGTCATAAACTTCTTTTTTACTAATGTAAAGAAATTTAGTAATGAAAGATGAATCTTCCTGTCGTTGATGAACATCTCAATTGTCACACTTGAAGGACAAGTATCTCAACCCTCATTGTTGCTTCGGATGAGAATACTTGTTCTAACCGAGAATCTTGTTTATTATGACGGTCTCCCATGGCGATTTCTTCCTGCCTTCTTAAATTATTGGCATACATCCCAGGATGTGTCATTTTCCCTACTTTGATCTCTACAGGTCAAGTTCAGGGCATTTGCCACGCTTTAAGCTTGAAATTGCGTCTCCAACCTCCTTCAAACTTCTCACGTAGTTTATTGGGCACATAATCTTGCAATTTGGTTGTTGTACCTATCGGTCCAGTCTTGAACATATGCGTTTTCTTTCATATCACATTTACGATGTTTTACATCAATCCTAGACTTTTACATTGCAATGCTTTACATTATTCCTTAACTTTTTAACTACAGCCCCTGAGGACACCAACTTCCTAGTGAAGTCTGATGAACTCATGTTATTAGAGTAACATGATCGAAAAAACTAGCCTTTAACATTTGTTCTCTTTCTAGACTTACTGTCTCTTAATCAAAATAGGGTCACATGTCTAAATGTCTGTTTCTTATTGTTAGATGTACGTCTTCATATACAGAGAAAAAGATACCGAAATAATGTAGTTAGCCAGCAAAGGATACGTGTACCGTGTGTTTATGTTCGCACGCAATTACAAACAAAAACATTAAAAGTCACGGTCATTACACACTAAAATTCTATGTATCACATTAGCATATTCTACATTATAGTGTACACGAATTGCATAGTATAATGTAGAATATTTCATATTTCATAACATATGACTGCATTTTGTGGCATATTGCGTATCGATATTGAATTCAAGACGTTGACTTCTATTACAATAAAATGTGTTCGCAGTTTCTTTCAAACATTCAACTTGATCGTAATTACTGTTGTATTTCACAACTTTTGAACAGAGCCTTCGGCATTATTACTTAAACTAGTCTTATTGGTGCTTAAAAATTATCAGTAGGACGACAATTATAGGCATTCTGAAAATGTATCAACGACGTGTTTCCTAATTAAGTACGTTACCATGTGAAATCTTGATTCATAATGTTGTTAACCCAAATCTGAATATTTCTGTAATGTCTCTGTACTTGATGCTGACTAAACCAACAACGATAGATATACAACCAACATTTATAGATATCACTCTCATTGCATTATCTACATACTTGGAAAAACTAAAATCATACATTTCATTGGAATATCATTTCTAGATAGTTCTGAACATCGAGAAAATATCGATGCTTTAAGGGTTAATGATAATTATGCAAGCTAACACATTCTCTTTTTATTCGTGTACGCTTAACGCTCACTTTTCTCCTGTCTCTGTAATCTCTAACAGTTTTCAGACTACAAAACATGGCATTGTAGACCCCATGTTGTCCATATGGGGTCATCAACTCTTTGTTAATGGCGATACCGATCAGTAAGTGGTCTATAACAATACACCTTTCATAATATGTATCTTATACAATATGCAATGCCTTGCGTGCTCTATACATTTAATTTCTTTCTAATGCATATTTTCATTCTTACGCTCCTTTATTACTTCACGATACTTGTTTAGACATCATTTAAGCATTTGCTTAGATTTTTATAGTATCTAATAATGCTTCTTAACTGTGTACATAAGCGTACATATTTTACCTTTCGAAAATTACGATCCGGTATATTTACATGTTCGATGCAAAATATAAAAACAAGTAAATATTTTAACAACATTTTCCCATATTTTTTACAGAATTGCAAAAACCCTCGGCTTCAGCAATAGAGGCCACGGTCTATACCTCTCATCGCCCACTGAGATTCAAAAGTTTTCCGTATCCAGCCAATTTTGGTACGATCTTTCACTTATACGATTCATCAAATTTAACCACAAACTTAACAAGTTGTGCATAATATTTACCTTATGGTAACACTGACATTGTAACAATATAATAATGAATAATTTTATGTACAGTTAATCTTATTAATATGCGCAAATAGTAATCGTAAACTTTTTACAGGTTTATAATAGAAACAGGAATCACAGGATTAATAAGAAAATAAAATAATTTATTATTAAGTATTCTTAAGTATTTTATAATTCTGGTTTTCTGTTAAAATTGTTCATTTAACGTTTATATGACAAATACTTATGTATCATAGGGTAAAATCCTTCAATTATATGTATGCATACCATGCCAGATATACTAATAATGAATATTGATATTGTTGTACGAATGAAACGTAACAAAATCTTCATTTCAAATTTTATGTTTTCAGTGCGGAATTAACTGAAATGATGGGAGACTTATTCATTGGTCATGATATGCCTGAACCACCTAAAGAAAGTTTCTTCAAGGGCCTCTTCGGCGGAGGATCACGAAGTCTGGACAGAGAAGAGTTATGTAAGTTTAACAAATTGGTTTGCAAGTATTAATATACATATATTCGTAAGTCCATAAAGCATTTATTAATAGTTACTGTGAGAGAGTGCGAGAATTGAAGTAGATTTGATGTAAACCATGATTTCATTTCTTGACTGAAAGAGATTAACTAAAGATTTATCTACCTTAACTTCGGATACTGCTACTTTCAGTCGGTGAGTCTAGTGGGCGAGCTTCTCGTACGGTTGCAAAACATATACCAGGACCGAACGCTGGTACGGAGGCTCTTCGAGAACGCGTGACAACCGCCACAGGAGAAGTGGCGATGGCCCATCAAATGGTTATGGAGCGTGGTGAGAAGCTGTCACAACTGGAGGAACGGACAGCGCGCATGATGACGGAAGCGGAAGGTTTCTCTCAGTCTGCTCACGGATTGATGCTCAAGTACAAAGACAAGAAATGGTACCAGCTATGAGAATATAGCTCGAGTTGTATCCAAATTTGGATCTGCGTACGATTATATGATAATTTAGCGTTCACATGTCATGTATGAGTTCTGTCGTACTAAAAACCAAAAAAGAAAAAAAATAGGATGAAATCGAAAAATTGAACATATTGTGAACTTTGTACGCACACACCGGAAACATATTACACGGAACAAAAGAGTGAAATATGTGTATGTGTTGGTAAGAAAGATGGCTGGGAGGAGGGTCGAAAGATATAAAGGAAACATATTCATGCGATACTTGTACAACCAGGTAATACACACGCACATTTTTCAGCGAAGAATATAGGAAAAGTCATATACACGTATAAACACAAATAAGATTAAGTATATATATATACACATACATATATATATATATATATATATATATACACATGCGCGATCTCTCAGAATGATTAATAATCTATATACATACATATAGACCGAGTAAATATATGGTATATACGTTACGTATAAACCAACTGAGCAGATAAAACGGAAGGAAAGTGGGATGGCTGCGATTAAAATTAAATAAATTATTAGTGGATATAATAACATAAGGTTTAAGAAGTAAGTATTTACGCAAGAATAAGAAAATGATTCTACTACGTGCGAGTCAATAGATATGACTATGTGACAATTCGCGTTCTAATCTACGACTCTGGTAAATATATTCGGATACTCTGTAACACAGAAATGCTGAAGCAGAATGATACTTTGTCTTCATTTGTACTTAGTTAAAAAAGAAGAATATAATAATTAAAGCACGTACAAGGGCAAACATTGTTCGAACGATACAAACCAAAATTACAGAGCGAAGTTGATGATGTGGAGACGTTTATTGTGAATGCATTTTGACGTAATTAATTAATAACGTATTGATAAACGTATTTAATTAATTACGTAATAACCAAAAAAAAAAAATTAATCGATTGGGATAATAGCACAGTGAATGAACGTTGAAGGCAGTAAAATATATAATTTATCCACGATGCTGGACCATCTGGACTTATATTCCAATATATAATCCTACCGTACCGTCACATCGTTGATAAAACATATATTAGTTGTTATTAATTGTAGTTATCGCTAGATATGCTATGTATATAAAATAACAAGTGCAGTAGGAAATATTATACATCAAAAAAAGAGCAGTTTGTATAATAACGTGTTGTAAGTTGCGCTACTTCAGCGTCAATGATGAATTCATTTGAATTTATGATATATATATATATATATATATATATATATATATATATATATATATACACATATACATATATACATATATATATATATGTATATATATATATATACACATATACATATATACATATATATATATGTATATATATATATGTATGTATCGATCGGAATAAAGAAGTACTACTATAATTTTTAAAATTATATGTAGATTAGATTATGGAAAGACAATATATCTAATAAGTTCACTTGAATTTATTGAGACCCTGAATTACCGTACTGCTTCCATAGCAATAACTCTATAGTTGATGTTAATGGTACTAATCACCTACATAAAACTATATTATAATTTGCCCCGCAAACAATTGCAATTCCTTTTTGCTTCTGAGTATCATTTTCCTTGGACAATATACACAGGTATAGTTTTCTTCGTATACATTTAAACGCCGCTATAATTATTGTCAGTAAATATATTTAACGTTCTCGATATATTGAAACATGGTCGAAACGCTATTTTAATTTCAGAATCTCAAGATAATTGCATAAGAAAACCAACATGTGATTCTACACTTTCATTATTCGTTTTACTTAAACAACAACTTTTTTGACGATGTCTTTTATCGTCTTACTCGCAAGCGAGTTCTTCAAGTGTAAGTCCGACTTCTTAACTGGGATTTACACAGCGATGGAGCAAGAACTACCGAAGTCATTTATTACAGTTCAGTGGGCGGAGAGTTAATAGTTTTTGAAATATTTAATATTAAAGTGTTGACGATCACTTATCTGCTAAAACACAATTTTCAAGTGAGAATACAATACGAAACTACAGTGTACTGTAATCTAAAATACAAATTTACTTTCTTTCTAAATATCTCGCAAAGTACTAACAATCTGCTCACCAAACCATAATTATTGACTTCGGTATTTCACGCTCCACCATTGCCAACAATTAAAAAACCAGACATACACTTGGAGAATTTCCCTTGTAAATGGTCTTCAAAACTCAGAAACTTTATATGCGGGGTTTTCTGACATGATAAAAAAAAGCAAAAAATATTAAACGATGGTTACATTAAAATAAGCATAGAAGCGTGTTAATAACCAATAAGCAAAAGGGAGGAGCCAATACATAACAGAAATAAAAATATTTGTCTCGGGACTTTTGTGAAAATGAAAAAGTTGTTTATTGCTCTAACAATAGAATAGTAAATGTACGATAGTTGCAGACAAAGAACAGCAAAATACGTTATTATCTAAGTGTTTGATAATATAACATATTCTAACACTTGTTGTATAAAAACTACTGTTTAGATAATTTTGAATTATTTATGTCAGCAAACAGGTTGAAATGTGTTTGAATATAATTTATTATAATAAAACACAATTTGAAATGAAAAAGGAATAATATAACAAACAAACAAAGATAAGTATTAATCGGAATTCCTATTTAACCTTGATCTACGTTCGTTATGTTATAAAAACTTGTAATATCTGTTAATTATTTATATCCGCAATATGGATTTTCTGCAAGGCTAGATTTTTTCGATTATCAAATAACTATATAACTTAAGATAATGAGGCTTTCATGGCCCGGTTCTTCATGGTTGATAGTAACCGAGGCTTCCGGACGTAAGCCGTATGCTTTGGATAAAATACTCCTACGTTTAGCCAGCCTTCCAGCTAGCTTCCTCAAAAAGTCAAATGGCATTCTGACATTGGCGTTCATCGTGAAATTTGGGTAATTTTAAGTCACGGTTCCTTAACTACCAATCACTGAGCTCATGGCACGGTTTTCTGATTAATAATAAAAGTTGTCATGATTATTCTAGATATTCTAGGTATGGTTGAAATTATAACCTACTAATTGGTCAACTGAACAATCATATCAACTTCTATTGATAACTTGTGGCCCATGCTATAAGCTCGGTGAGTGATAGTCAAAGAACTGTGACATGAGTATAAGTATCTTTTAAAGTGTCCCAAGTTACATAATGCACGCCAATAACAGTATGTCATTTGACCTCTGAAGAAGCCAGCTGCAATGCTGGTGATTGGTGTATTTATCCAAAGAACAAAGCTTACAACCGGAAATTTCAGATAGTATCAACTGTACAACTTAAAAATTCTTACCGCGACACAGAACAATTGATACTTATTTCGGTAAAGCAATATTACTTCGAGAGTTTCTACACTTGTTTTCACAAATATTGTAATGTTATAGATATTCGAAGAGATTTATTTTCAGCGTGAACGTATTGAATCGTTTTATAACAAATATATTGCTTCCTGTATGTTCAAACGAACTGTAGCTACCTCTACCACTTGCTAGGTTCTTTGTATGAAATGTTCATTGTTTATTGTGTCTATCCTATTTCGACGCAGTGGCCTGAATATGTAAATCTAATATTGTAAATGAAATTTTGTCCTTAGATAGAGCAAAATATCTAATACTCTCAATTTATACCATTACTAATCTAGTACAGTTCTTATTTTTCAAGAGATATAATACTATGTTATTGTAAAAGTACTGCCTCGAAGACAGACTGTATCTTGGCTCCGATTAATAAATGAGTTTGAACCAAAGCTGGTATTTCTAGAATTTACATTGAGAGAGACAACTAAAGTATAAGATTAATAAAAGAATCGAAAACTGACCGATATTGTTGGCAACACGATGATACCAGACGCGGCGACCTTTCGGAAGTCATAAATACCACCGATAATAAGACCTGCGAAAAATCCGCGAAAATAAATCTGAAAACTGACCTATTTAAAAATATGTTTCTAAAGTTTTTTCTCATTAAAAAAAAACATTTTTCTCATTCCTTTAAATTTTACTTCGCAAATTTCAAGCGACTAGTTTGTATTTTTGAAACTAATAGATTTTAATGTGAGTTTTAGATAATTTATATTTCGTAGATTTATGATAACGAATTGTTCTCGATGCCTATAAAAGGATACATATTGATAAGTAAGAATAATCAATTTTATCATAGGAATATTTCCATTTTTATTTCATTCTTTTTTTCACTGAAGTGGCAGGCTCCCTTAAAAACTACTAAAGCATACAGACTACATCATGGCAAGAAATACATATGCATCCACTATGACAATGAAATCCTAGAGTCTAATTTTGCAATAACATATTTAACCTTTCGGATAGCCAGCATTAATTGATTATCCGTAATCTCATGAAAGAACACGAACCTAACAAATGACTCGTTTAGAGCCAAACATTTCACAATAATCTTGTCATCGTCATTGTCATCACAAACACTTCGTAAGCGATTAGCAAAATCTGTTGCAGAAACAAGGTCGGGATCAACGCGTACAAAAACCATGTTTGTTTGTACGGTTTTTAAATCGACTGTAAATATCGTCGACTGAATATCATTTATGGAAGAGGCAAAATACAAAGCTCTTCTGTGATCATCTTTCAAAATTGGAATCGTGTCTTCAAGAGCTACAAGTCCGGCTGCGCCAAGAATACCAACTTGTCGCATACCACCACCTAGCACTTTCCTCACTCTTCTTGCTTTAGCAACAAATTCCTTGCTTCCACAAAGAAGGGATCCTATAGGGGCACCTGAATAGCAAATAATTTTTTTTTCTTTAAAAATTCGTTAATAATAACAGATAACTGTGCTTCTCTATTAATTTAAACATTGTATTGAAGAAAGTTGAAATTATTCTAAGACCACATGAAGATGTATAAAGAACCTTGAAGAAAAAAATGTACCTAAACCCTTGCTAAGACAAAAAGTCACAGAATCAAAACCTGAAACGATTTGTTTAGCAGATTTTCCAGATCCTACAGATGCATTCCACAATCGTGCTCCATCCATATGCAACTTCAAATTATGTTTCTTACAAAAAGTTACTAATTCTATGATCCAACTTTGTGGAACAATTTTTCCATCTATTGTATTTTCCACGAGAACCAATTTAGAAATTGGCTCGTGATGTCTGTCTTTTCGAAGTAGAGATTCAAGTTCACAAAGGTCAAATGTCCCATCAGAATTATTCCGCAATGGACGAAGGTTTACACCTGCGATTTGAGAAGCACCACATTGTTCGTGTAATAAACAATGGGCAGAGTCACCGCAGTATGCCTCGCTGCCTCTCACGTCGCAGTGATTCATTACTATAATATAACATTTTTTCATTGAACAACTTGAACAACAATTTCCTTAAATGGTACATGTTAATGCAACAAATATTATTGATTGATGAAATCTTCAATTTAAATTACAAACAAATTTTAATTCCGATTTAATTTATTATGAATTCATTGCTATACTTACTAGCAATTAAATTTCCCATAGTTCCAGAACATACAAATATTGCATCTTCCATTCCAACCATTTCTGCTGCTTTTTCTTCCAACTCTAAAAATTAATGATTTCAGGACAGATTATAAACAATTTATGAGCTTATTATGTAGTATATACAGGACATTCAAAAAGTACCCACGGACCCACCCCTTATCTCGGGATCTATGCATTATTGGTAAACACTGACTCGACACCACTTTTAAGGTTTAAAAAAAATTTGTTTTTCCGTAACTTCAAATTTGACCTTAGTCATGGTCTTGAAGGTCATTCGAAAATCAACTTTCATTTTTCAAATAGAAACCCTCATCATTGAGGTCAAATTCGGGAAGAGGGGGAAATTTGAGATATAGTCTTCTTCTCAAGGTTGGCTGTGACCTCTAGAGGTTAATCTGAGGTCAAAAGAGTTGACATCGTGGAATCTTCGGTACCAGTAGGTGGTCATAAGATATGACTCGGGTAAAGGTTGTAGAGATCAAAAGGGACCATGAAGTGATTTGAGCTTTACTTCGAGATTAATTTTAGAGGTCATTCCAAGGTCAACTCGATTTTTTCGAATGGACACCCCTATTCACGACATCGGATTCGGAAAGAGATGGAAACTTGATATTCGGATAGCTTGGCATTTTAAGGGTAGGTACTTGCATTAATCAAGCATCTCGAATAGTGAGTGGGAAGGGTATTACCCACAGTGGTAAATTCTCACGTCCTCGTTCATTGTCCTTGGATACAACTAAGACTAAATCAAGACTTTCCAATCTTCAATACCTTGCATACAAGTATCATAGAATAACTTCATGAAGTAACAATGATTACTGAGGATCAACTACGGACTGTGGAATTAACTACTATGTTCCATAACTCAAATATTGATACCATTTCATGTACCAGTAATTAAAGTGCCCTTTTCTAAAATTTAACATGCTTCCCAGGCATGGTTGGATTACAATTGTAACAATGATCTATAGCCAAATGGTGCAATTAGACTGCATAAACTTCAAACTTTAGAAAAACAACATATCATGTATACCAACTTAATATAAATATGAACTTTTGTATTGTATAATTGGCTTGAATGTTTATATGTATTAATCTACTTTTAACAGTTGAATCTTCTCCATAAACATCATCGCCAACTTCAGCATTAAACATTGCTTCCCTCATCCTTTTGGTTGGTTTTGTAAGAGTATCACTTCGAAGATCAATGACTACTGCCTGCAAAAATATTACCTAAATATATTTAAATGCTATTGATAAAATATTAATGGTCAAACAAATTTCGGTAAACAGTTTTACATTATTATCATTACAAATCACGTTCAAAGAACTTCTCTCTTCGTAATACATATTTCCAGTATAAAATCGCACACTATTTCAAGTACAAAACATATATTCAAGTAACGGGAATTGTTGATACAAAATAAGTTTACAATAATGAATAATCACGGTGCACAAATCATACACTAATTTTCTAATACTGTGCTCTATGATGACGTTGTATCACGTTTCCGTCATGACACATTACGTCCATGTTGGCCTATGCGACATTAGGATAGGTTATCAGAGATTAGACATAGTACATAGTGTCAATCATTTTATCACAGAGTAATTTTACAGAGGGGAAACTCTTGTTGGGACCTTTGATGTTTGCGTTCCTGTATTTCCAAATTAAAACCGACAGTAACCAAATTTAAAAAATGGCCATACGCTAACGTTTTTAATTCGTTATTAATATTAATTATGCATTATAAATGTTACATTAATTCAAAGACATTGATTTTGATTGCGTTTCGAAGTTTCAGATCTTTATTCAACCATTTCTTGCCAAAATAAAATTGACAAGTATGAAAAACAATAATTCTTTGAAGACGTTCGTGAGACAGCCAATATCAAGAAATCACTTTTGCAAGAGGATTTAATAAATTTGGAGCTTTGTTCCACCTACAATATGAAGAGCGATTGTTTAATCTATTTGTCTTCTTGATAAACTCTTCATTTCCAAGGCCAATTTACTTAAAACTTTTAAGTTAACTTAAAATACCATTATGGGGACATATGTTCTGTACTTATTTTAAACTATTTTTCACTAAATTGTAAAACTACAAACTTCGTTATTTTCTCGGAAAGTATAAAGTATTCCTTCAATTTGTTAGCAGAGCATGCATTAATGGTAATATCTATCCAATACCTCATTTATAATAATAGTATACTTATTCGATAAATATACAAATTTATTTCTATTTCATTGTCAATTAACATTAACATTGCATTTATAGTTATATTAATCTTAACAATACAGATAGAATTATGTTTGAGGTGAAAAATAAATAAGTTGAGAAATATAATACATATTATTTCATAAAAGTTTCTAAGCATCTAAAAATCGATTGTGTCACATAACGAAACAAATATACGTTTCGATAAAAATTAACAATAAGCTGTATCTACTATCATAATACATTCTTATCTATTGAGAATGTCCCTTTGATATAATTTAAAAGTTTTACACAAATTTAACAGATAAGATTACTAATATCATTAAATTAATCTTCTTTTTACAATTGTTTACAATGTAGATATCGCGTAACATAAGTTCCACAAACAATTTTGTACTATACATTTTGTGCAACAAGTATAATTCTTATAGTTTATATACACGCGAAATAATGTATAATATTATTAACATTTCGACTGAAAATATTTACAATGCAACAAAGTGCGACGAAATGTTTCAGTACACATATAGTAAAGTATAAAAATTGCAGAACTAATTAAATTGGTTTATTTATAACATTAAATAATTCTAATAAAACTACAAGGTTTTCATTGGAAGTCATAGTATTTATTTTATGACATGTATGGTATGTATTAATCTAATTTTACTCTTCAGTATGAAATGTAGTTTAAGAAACTTTTACAAATACTTACTGAAGTTTTTCAAAATTCACACGAATAAGTTTTCTGTAAAATAGTGAAGTGGAAAGCTGAAGTTGTCAGGACAAAATCAACTAAAGTACATTTTTCCTGTTATGAATAACACCAGAAATACGAATCCTACTTTAAAATTATTTCTATTCAAGCGTTAAGAATCATGCGATTAAACAGTTACGTGAAGGAATGTAAAATAAAATGACATAAGAGGGAGTAAATAACCTCTTGACAACCTTGAGCAGTCAACTTCATTCTGAGAATGAGTTACATTTTTAACGTATTCGTTACCGCGAATAAAAAAAGATTAGAATCTTTTGAAGAAGTAACAATTTGTTTATACTTGTGCAGTTTGACAATGTACCTTAAGGATTTAGAAAAATTGTACAAATGGAACAAATTTAAGAGAGTCTACACCTATCTCTGTTTCCGGAAGGCACAGTCTCGAGTGTTCTTCGCCTAGCCGCTACATCTTCATCCAACATGGAAGCCTGAAGAGCTCTCGCAAGAGCTTCATCTTCATTCATACTACCTTGGTAACTTTTCATGATTTCACCATTTCTTCTATTCATTTGTACATTATTTTTTAAAGTATCAAGTCTCTTCCTTCGAATGGCTTCCTCATGACCTATACATGCATGATCTGTTGGATGTCTGTGCTTCAAACAGAAGTTCTCACCGCAATCAGAGCAATGCACTTGAACTATTTCTTTGATTTTGCAACCTTTCGATGAACATCTAAAAAATGAAAATTGTATAACTTACTACTTACTAAAAAGCATGTCTATTTCAAAACAGTATCATTAAATATATGTATATACCTATTTGAAAAAATTTTTTGGCTAGATTTTCTTAAATCTGATTGACATTCTCTGTCAATGTGCTGTCCAACTGCAATATCTGGAGAATCACCACGTTTTATAGGTATTGGTGTATCACAAAGTGGGCACACTGGAACTCGAGCATCTTTTTTATAAGCACTTGGGCAACTATGGTTGATATATGATATGTGTTCTGTACAAAAAATTTCAGAGCACGCATCACATTTCAATGGTAAAAAGTCCAATCGATTGCAACTGTTTTCTGAACAATGCTCGCCTAAATTTGGGAATTCCATGTTTGAAGAGAAGAATCTAAAATAGAAACTACATCATATTTTGTATTTCTCAACAATACTCTCATTTATATACTTGCATCATATTCTTGTATATCTATTCAAAAATATTGTACAGAAAGAAAATGTTATTTATTCAAATATTGAAAGAACTTATTGTACAATGGAAACTAAATAATATGTACGCAGCATAAAATATATTTCATCATAGGAAGTGTTCATATGGTATACACACATTTGAAAATGACATATTTTGACAAAAATTTAAAAGAGTACTAAGAAATACAACTCTTTGGAGTTAAATAGCTTACAGAGAATTAAGGAAAACAAAATAGTATGATTTCTGGGATCACATGACTGTAATTAAGAATTACGCTTATAGTAACAAATTATAATATTAACTTTATTAAAACTTTTAATACAATAATTCAAAGTAACACTCTTTGGAACAATCAAACATTTCTAATAGTATTGAAAATTGTTACACCTAAAACGATTGTTTATTACAAACATTAACACATGCAAATTTGTATACCCCAACCTTATTTTATACGTTACACATTTCGTGTAGATTTTTTCCTAAGAACTGTATACTTTATTCAGTGTCTCCGAATATTCAAGAGTATTATAAAAAAACCAGTACATCTTGCATCAGATCAAGTTCGTATACGATGACGATCTACATTTGTAAATTATAACCTCCAACATTCCACACACTTCATAACAATTGAAATAACAAATTTATCGAAAAGTACTACAATTAAGAAGATAAACGTAAAGAATTCAGTTCAATCAAGACAAATAGAGCACAGGAAAATGTATAACAAGAAAATAAAAATAAAAATTTTAAATATTTGGAAAATTTCCGAAATATATATTTAAATATAATTTTAAACAAATACATACCTAAAATTACGTTGAACCAAATTTTTAAGAATATCTTTGGTGTATTACAATTAACATTTCACATAAAAAATAAAATGAATATCACTTTCAATAATACACTCTCCTATTGTTTTTATGAATTTTTATACGTGCATCACAAAAACAATTTCTTCTTCAACGTTGCCAAATTGAAAGATGATAATAAACTTCAATCGAAGTACTACGAATGACGAATGTTTCAGATTTAACAGGAATATATACTAACCGACAGTATGAAACGGACGGAATAACACGTCAACGACATAAATGCGAATTAAGCATGACGTTGCAGCAGAGGTTAAGGGTGCGCACTGCGCAGGAGCCAGAGCCAAACTCCGAGTTGACTTCAGCGACAGTTGCGGAAAAAGTAGGAAACTCCGGGACAAGGACAGAGAGGGCGATACAACAATTGCAGGAGAGACGAGGACAGAGCGATTAGGCTAGCATGACTTTTTTCCAGGATATTGAAGCAAAGAAGCAATATTTTCTAATAATTCTGGTTTTAATATATTCGTTACACTTTGGCGGATGCGGCTCCAGGGCCTGATTTTGCAAGTTCGGCCTTGAAACTTTATAAACAATAAAAGTATGTTTGCTATCTTCATTTGATTGTTTATAAAGTTTTCATTCTAGTGCTTTCATGAAACATTATGCAATTGAAAACATTTTTCTTTTTAATATAATTCATAATGAAATATCGTTTTGTTTATGTTATCATAACGAAAAATTTAAATTCCGAGCAAGTGGGTTAGTTGATTTAATATTATGTACGATTTATTATACAGATTTCATTTTTGGCGCGGTCTCAGAAAATTGTGGTTCAATTTCTACGTTCTCTAAATTCAGAAGGAACGGAACACGGAATGCGTTGGCGATTTACAATCATAAACTTGAGTTTGCATTGTGCTTATCCCTGGAGCATGGTTTTATTATGATTTTTGAGCGCCAGGTGGCTGCATTTTTGTTGTCCATTTGTCGAACGGTACACTACAGACTACAGATCTCAGCGCCATTACAACGATAAATGTCATTGTACCTGCGTCCCACAAAACCGATTTTGAATCGTTAATAAGTTTTAAATAAACGAAATCTACCGATATGTCGACTAAACGGAAAAATCCGACGAACAACAAGAACCGTACAAAATCGAGAAAGGTCGAATACGATGAAGAAGACATCTCTAGCGAGCATGATTCGGATGTTGATGACGCCGAGACCGGTTCGAATGCTGAGGGTGAGGACGCTGTCGAAGATGATCTTACCGATGTCTCCAGTATCCCAGAATTACCACCACCTGAGGTGATATTATATATATTTGTGTTTTATATTGGAAAGTATATCGAGGTCTAAAGGACCAGGACGCGGTTTTGATATTTACAACGCTGATGAGAGTTTCACAACTGCAGTGAGTAACTGTAATATTAGGACACTTTACAATTTTCCTTTTGTCGCTTTATAATTTTGCTTATGATGAAAAATAAAGTAATCAAGGTATATCTAGTCTTAAAACATTTAATCTAATTAGGGAAAGTATAAAGTTTACTTATTTAATTTATGTTTACTATAAAATAACTTTCAAACAAAACAAAAGTCTTTAACAAACTTCTGAATGGACACACTTTCAATTTGCATATGGTAAGTAAAATGTATTCGAACATACCTACCAGATGCACAACAAATTTTTCATTGTCCAAACCTTGGCGTTATAATTCTAGTCTAGAACATGCAGACCCTTTCAGCAGGATATGTAATTTCACTAATTCATATAGCAATAATATAGATGATGAATGAATTTATTTTTAAAGAGTCGATATTTTAATATAATTGACTACCTTAATTACTTTATTTTCCATTATAAACAAAGTCATGAAACAACACAGTATAAATTGCAAATTGTCAGAATATTATAGTTACAATAAAACATTTAATAGGTTTTTAGTAAAGAAAGTTACTTGAGGTTATTAAGATTGGCAAATTACTCAAGTATTAATATTTAAGCCAAACATTATGTCATTCAAGAATTAGGTCATGTATATTTATTACAGGGTGGGTGGGGAAAACCTGGAACACTACTCATGTGTGGTCTCACAAATTGGGAAATGGCTGGTCGCAAAGCTCCACCAAAAGGAGTTAAGGCTAATGTGGGACGCAGTTTATGGACACCGCATACTTTTAAAAACCTGAATGGCGCACGCGTTAGATTGGTTGCCTCTGGTCCTGCAGCTTCTCATAGTATTATTGTTACGGAGGATAATAGATGCCTTGCTTTTGGTAGAAATGATAAAGGTAAATGAATAAAAGGTAAAACATATCTCTAGGTCAAACATATCTATAGAATTAAGAATTCTGATGTAAGTAAATATACTTTGATTAAACTGGAAACTTTAGAAATTTGTTAGGCCATATAATTTCAATTCAGTACCCAGATAACTCGTTATGTTTCTTAAAAAATTAAGAAATTTTATTTCACTGTACAAATTTCGTCGCTGAAAAGATTAAGATTTCGTAAATTTTTATGAAATAATTTTTACAGGGCAGTTGGGTGTCGGCGATATGAAACGTCGAGATGAACCTACCGAAGTTACAGCACTGAAGGGACATACCGTTATAGCAGCATCTTGTGGTCGTAATCACACCTTATTTTTAACAAGTCGTGGCATAGTTTTCGCAGCCGGAGACAATAAATTAGGCCAATGCGGTGTTGGAAAATCTGATGCGTGCATTATTTCTGCTACTAAAGTTAAATATACTGGTCCACCTATAGTGAAAGTAGGATGTGGTGCAGAATTTTCAATGATTCTAGATATAAAAGGTGGCTTGCACTCATTTGGAAGCCCAGAATATGGAGCCTTAGGTCATAACACTGATGGAAAATATTTTATAACAAACGCAAAGATGGCGTTTCATTTTGAAAAAGTGCCTAAGAGAATCGTTTTTTACGTTGAAAGATCAAAAGATGGCCATCTTACACCTTTGGATCGTGTGGAGATTACAGACTTCAGTTGCGGTCATTATCATACCGTCGCTATTGATAGTAAAAATCGTGCATTTTCTTGGGGATTTGGCGGTATTGGCCGCCTGGGTCACAATGAGCAACGAGATGAGTTCGTGCCTCGTTTAATTAAGTTTTTAGAACCACCTAATCGTGGTGTTAGAGCCGTGCATTGTGGTAGTACCTATAGTATTGCCATTAATGTCCATGGAACAGCCTTAATGTTTGGACAAACAAAACGTACTGGAGAAGCCAATATGTATCCAAAACCAATTCAAGATTTGTCTGGCTGGGAAATTAGATGTGTTGGTTGTTCTCAAACTAGCGTAGTAGTCGCAGCTGATGAGTCGGTTATTGCTTGGGGTGCTAGTCCGACATTTGGCGAATTGGTACATAATTTCATAAAAAAGATTTACATAAATCTTTAAACACTTTTGAGTTAAATTTCTTTTATCTCAATTAATTATTTCAGGGTTTTGGCGAAATGCGTAAATCCTCGACTACTCCGATGGAAGTGAAAGCACTGGAAGGTTTATACATTACTGCCATTACCTGTGGTATTTCTCACACACTTATGATTTGTCGAGATGAATCCGAAGAAGAGAAAACTAAAATCAACAAACTTCAAGTATATTCAGTTTAAATTACATGGTTTGCACAAAAAGCTACCAAATTCCACGTTCGCGTGCTACCAAATTTTTCTGTGTTCATCACAATCATTGCCACACTTTATGATCAGATTATATAAACGGAAAATACATCATTATACGTGACGATAACTTATTTCAGTAACTTAAAGCATAGATGAAACGATCTGCGAGCAGTTATTAATAGACTGTAAAAAACGTCCATACAAATACAGACTTAACTATTATTTTACTATGTACTTCCGTCTTTACTTAACGTGCGAAGGAAAGTTTATCATAATAGGAAACCCCATTCTGTTAGTAGCTCAGGATATAGACCAAACAAATAGATGCAAAAATATATTTTGATACGTTACTATTTTATTGACATACTCTGTATCTTTGTCCAGAATGAAAATAGTTGACACGTATGAAGAAGAGTGCTGGAAGCTGGAAATAAATCATTACAGAATTCATCGAGTAATGTCTTTACATGTTAGTTTCACTTTTCAATCTACTATACACAAATAGTTTGTATCATTGATTCATTATAGTAGTACCTGAATCATTAATTCTACAGAAATCGTTTTTATATTTTATATACAATGACACGTTAGCAGTGGTTACATTGCTAATGTAACACTAAGCCGTTTTTTATGCTTTAAATAGATAATGTTTTTTTTATACAAAAATAGAGAATATCATTAATGCTAATAATTTCAATTATATCCTTTGATATTACGATGGGCAATGCTTCCATGAAACCAGCATTGTTTATCATACTTTTAAACTAAGGATTGCTTTAAATTCACACAAAGAAATTCTTAGCGAAGAGTGTACATTGTTAATTGTAATAAATGTGGTCTGAACACCATGTATCATCAGAACTCATGTATACGCATTTGTATTTAAGGCTATCCATGTTTTGGTAGGAAATATAATCGAAATTTGATATATAATTTTATTTTGCATTAACTAATAATGTAACCAAAAAATTACTGAAATTTATAATTACATTATTTTTTAAAGAATTATTTAAGAATTCCAATTAAAATCACTGCCATGATGTATGTAAAACGTATCTTTCATTGTAATGTTGAATATTTATTCCTTTGTATACATTACTTTTGTGTAGTTACAACATCAACATACTGTTTTAGTAAACTTGAGATAAGCGTACAAAACGAAATACAAAATAAATACATTTTTAAGCAATTTTTACTAAATAGTGTTTTGAACATTTATATTTTAATAATACTTTAATACTTTATCAGCACGCTCCAAATGTGTAGCCGACAGATAGTGGTTGTTTTCATTCGATACAGTGACATTAGAATAGCTACATGTTTCTTAAAATTCGCAGTTTTCATATTTTCTTGGCATAATTTTGTCCACTTTATTAATTTTACAAGAAGTACACGTTTGTGGGAATTCGCAAATTTCATATTCTCTTGACGTAATTTTCTCAGCTTCATTGATTTTACAAGAACTACACGTTCGTGGAAATTGGCAAATTTCATATTTTCTTTGTGTATTTTTATCGATTTCATTGATTATACAAGAACTACACATTTGTGAGAATTCGCAAATGTCGTATTTTTCCAATTGCTTTTCATCAATTTCACAAGAGTTACACATTTGTGGAAATTTACAAATTTCATACTTTTTTGCCAGGTTTTTCGAACATCTCCAACATCTTTGTTTGATACGATGTAATTTCTGATATTCTTTGCAGATGGTACAGGGAGTATTTTTAATAGCTTCATCGTTCAGACGTTCAAGTAGTTTTTCTTCTTCTGAAAGTCTCCTCAGCTATTTAAAACATAGGTAGACGTTTTATACTATTGTATAATATTAACTACTGTATTAGTTTTATAGAACGGAACTATTTTTTAAATATTGACAATTATAAATAGTGCTAACGATAAGTTTACGATCCATTGCTGTTGTAGCTAATGCGATAATGTTGTGGATGGTATCCTTTTTATTTTGTGTAACATTATTGTTTTTCCAACGTAATAGTTGATACGCCATATAATGTATTGGATCCGAAGGTTTATAATTTAGAACCTTTGCCATTGTCCACGACACTGGCACCATAATATTTTGTCTATCATTACAAAAGACGAGAGTAAAAACGAAATAGACTATTGGTGTATTTAAGAAATATGGTTATACTAAATGTGATATGGAAAACTATTAATGAAACATCTAGAAGATATAGAGATATCAAGGATAAGTGTTTATGACAAAATGGAAGGATTGAGTAATTCTTCGGCAATTGGTTTACAATGAATTGCGTAATTGAATGATTGTAAAGAATCCATGTAGAGTTTCAAGTATAAAGGTAACTGATACAGACAGTCTGTTTCAAGAAGAACGCTGTTGGCGATTTTTGGAAATGCATCATGAGGTTAATGATATCATCATTTAGGAGAGTAAAAAGGGTTAAACGAGTAATGCAATTTACATATCTCCAACTACATTTTTCTTAAAACTAAACTGTACACATACATAGGATAATTGTAATGAATTCAGTTTAAATACATACAGATAAATAAAAAAAAAAGAAATTACGGAGTTGGGGAATCAGAAATTAGCTTATATTATAATCATCTTGTAATCATTATAATTATATAATTATAAAGTAATCACAATATAGTTATGATAATATAATTTCTGAATATATTCCACAACATATTCAATTTCTATGTACTTGTTACTGTATCATCCTTCTACATATCCAATTCTTATATTTAATGCCAAATGATGTTCAGTAATCACTTACCTCAAATAATCATTTCTTTGTACAGACAATTCTTCTACTGTGTTCTTTTCTGCTACAAGGTGACACAGACAAGGGCATTGTTGGAAATAATCTAGTGTATCAGTGGGAGTAGTAATGCTTCTTGAATGATTTACTTCACAAATATTTTGTATCATTTCTAAACTATTGGTATCTGAATCCAACATAGTAAAACTACATTCACATAATATTTCCTGCATGTCAAGTATAATATTGTACATAAAAAAACACATTAGTATATAGAATAAAGGAGTTTGTTGAATTGTTTATTACTCAAATCATGTTTAGACCTCTAGATTTGAGCATTTTTCTTCCATTTCATAAAATCCTATGTCGATCAATATTTGCTCAGTTTCTTCATCAATTCCATACTGCTCTACTAATTGTATAATACTTTCTTCTATTCCAATATGTTTCAGAAATTTAATTATTTTTGGCGAGGCATGATTGACAGGAGATCGCCAATTTATAATTCCAGGAACGTCGATGCCACTTAACATCAACTGACAAAGAATATGCGAATTTTGTAACTCTATTCCATGTACAATGATATACCAACACTCTGATTCGCTTAAACCTGTAGATCTTAAACTTGAGATAAGCTCGTCACTGAATTTTCTTGACCACATATCTTGGAATTGCAATATGTATGGATCTACATTGAAACTTTTGAAATAGAAGACTTCGCAACGATTAAGTTTAAGTAGTCCAAGTTTCATTGCTTTTATGATGGTATGTACAGACATACCTAAAAATTGTTATATATTAACTAAAAAATGTTTAACTTTGTATAAGTAAAAATTAGCACCTTTCTTTTGCAAAGTTTTTAAAACATATGTACTATATAATCCACTCTGAATAGTGATCCATAATCGCCTGTTATTTGTAGGATCGGTTAAAAATCTTTTTGAACTCAATTGATCACGAATACATTGTTTGAGTTTGTGTGTGATTAGCTTTAATAATTTAGTCCTGTTCCAGGTTCCATACAATTGAAGTCCTTTGTCCGTCAGACCAATATTTAATTTCGTTTTACTTAATGCTTCTTCTGTTGATACGCATGATAAAGACGTAGGTGAGACTTTTCTGTAAGTATTAAAATTTTTAAAGAGAAGATCCGTTAATCAATTCAAGATTTAGCAGAAATACTTCCGGTTAATCGCTATTACATTTTACCTTAAATTTTCTGTATAATCGTTGTTTTCCTCCTTATATACACGGCTTTGATCAACAGACATAAATTGCTTCATATTACATTGTTATATATGCATGTCAAATTAGTTTTCAAAATTAAATAAAAATACCAAAACAAATGTTTTAACAGGCAATTGTTTGAATTTGATTTGTTAAAGCGGCAATCAGCCGCTTAGTCACCGCATATACAAAAATAGTTAAAATTATTCCATTCAAATATTTAATGAAAATGTAGAACAATCTAAGTATATTAAGGACAAATATTTTAAATACAGAAAGTTTTTTATTTACAAGTACATTACAATAGTTTTGCCTGTAGGACGAATACTATACATTCTTTTGCTCACTCTTCATAAAATAAATATATATGACAGTAAAAGACTAAAGAAATTTATTGTACATTGGTTACACTATTATACATACATATGTATAACGATATGCATTGCATTCATATATTGTGTAAAACAACATTCAAACGAATTAACCTACAAATAAAAATGAAAATATAACACTTTGAAATATACGAACACTTATACAAAAATGTAATTCATAGGAGTTAATAATACAACGTTTGCTTACGATATTAATGAAGTTCTACTAATATTTATTAATCATTAAACTATGCACGTATGCAAGATATATTTACATGAATACAAATTTAGTATTACAAATACTTATATAAAATCCAACAATTTAACAAAGAATTAGAACTTGAAAGCAAACTCATATATATCTTTGATACACGTGTAAAACATTTCTTGCCATGACGAACACGAAACAATAACATGCTGTACTGTTATTCATGTTTTTCATTCATATTATCACACTTTATCTAGTTTTCAAACAGAGTTTAGACCATACATTAAAGTGTAGCTTTGTCGCAATTATCACCGGCTTAATTTTATATTATAATTAGTTAAAGCAGCTCACAATAACAGTTTGAGCCATTTGGCTCAAATGATTGAGTATCATTTGCCAAATGTATTCCTCTGTGACCTCTATGTCTTGCCCCTCCCATATTACCATTGCCGCACGATTTAAGAAGCGCATGTCGATCCCAAAGACCTGGTGTTTGTATTATCTGCAAGTAACATTAACTTCTTAAATTGAACGCAGCTCATGATTCACAGTATATTGAGCTATAATATACCTTTTGTACAAGTTCTTCAAAACAACATTTAATCCCATCTGCCGTTTTGGCACTACTTTCAATGTATAAAGTTTGATGTCTTCTGGCAAACTGTAAACCTTCTTCAGTACTCACTTCTCTATTTGGTAAATCTATTTTATTGCCTACTACCATTTTAACAATGTCTGTTTTATTGCAATAAGTATTTAACTCATTGAGCCACGTTTCCAGCTTTATAAAAGTAATTCTATCTGTAACATCATACACCAATATAGCACCTTGACCATCTCTGTAATAACTGGGCGTTAATGTACGGAAACGTTCTTGTCCAGCGGTATCCTATAATGGAATATTGATAAATTATATTCGTGTAATTAATACAATGATGCCTATCAAGTTGCAGTAACTTTTTTTCTATTCCCATTGTAATCCTTAATTAACAACATTTTATTAATAAGTTACTGAAGGAAAGATGTAGAAATTTTGTATTTTTTACTTTAAAATTTGTAACATGAAAATAATTAAATAAATTAATAAAAATAATACCAAACACAAACATATCAGAATAATCCTAAGTTAGGGGAGGAATATGCAATCGTAAAGGACAAAGATAATCAAATGTTAACTGTATCTCACTTGCTTTCACTGTTTCCTATTTGCTATGATCATTTCCCACATGCTTTTACTGTTTTATACTCTCCCGCTCAATAAAAATATAGCAAGCTGGCAAGATAAGAGTAATGAAGTTTCATATTTCTGTTTTTCAAGCTGTGTCCTAATCATTTTGCAACCTAACAGGCATCACTGTAGATAGCATTTTTGTAATGCTTTTTATTAAAACAGCTAACCCAAATAGCAAGTTTCACTGTATTGCCATCAATTGTGATCTGTTTAGTTTTATAATCCATACCAACTGTGCTCTGCATATTCTCATAGAATTCATCCTCCGTGAATCTAAGAATGATGCTAATACAAAGATTGTGATATAAGTATATTGATTAGATAAAATTAATTTATTCTGTTTGATAAATACCTTGACTTTCCAACATTTGATTCACCTATCATTAAAAGTTTCAGTACTGTCAATACATCTTGATCCATTGTATCCATTCTTAGTACCACTGCGATGAAATTTAATGTAGAAATCTAGCCTTTTGGTTTGGCTGATGCAAGTCACTGTTGTAACTTAAATATTAAATTTCAATCGAAACTGTAGTTATGACTCAAGCAATTTGAAATTCATTGATTCTGTTTAACATTTCCATAAAAAGAAAAACATTAACCAATTATCAAACTCACAGCTCAGTTCACTAATTATAGCAATTATTATAATTGTTTAGATGAACAACAAAGAAAATGCTACATAATGCACACCAATGTCAATGTATTATTTAACACTTGAAAAGCTAGCTTCAGTGCTGGTGAAACATTGTATATACTAGTATCAACAGTATATCAATTTCAGTATGAAATATCTTACTATGAATTTGATAAGTTCCTTTATATGTAAATGCAAAATACAGTAGAGATAATCTAATTGAGAAAAAATCAATAAACCCTTTGATAATATACATTATTAATCTTATTTTATAAAGAAAAAAAAACATGAAAACGTTTCATTATAAATTTTGTTTATGAAACAAGAGAAAGCCTATAGCGTTGCAAAACGATAAATAAAGTAGATGTACTTGATTACAACTTACAGCAAATGTGTCAATGTCATTTGAGTGTATGAATCTACTCAAATGATGTATGATGTCATAATTTGCTTGCAATCAACGAATTACAAATCGCAATACAGCGTTGTAACGTAATCTGAGTAGCAGAAGCGAGTAGAAGAGGAAAACAATTAGGTCACTTTTCACAAAATTCCATGGATGTCATTCCCAATCGTGTCTGTTAATTATTATAGTAAAAAAGCTATTTTTGTGAAGTATTCAGCGTGTATATTTCTGTCGCGAATTAAAACAAAACACAAAATAATGGCGGATGTTAACCAAAAAGATACGTTCGACTTTTTGTACGTCAAATATTCGAGTAACAAGCATTACTTAGAAATGTCATTTAACATTTGTTGCGTTGATACGCTTTTGTAACAATGAATAACGATATAATAAATTTTACAGAATTTAATTAAAAGTTCACAAATCTCTGTCAGTAAAATTATAAAATCAGAATTAAAACAAAATATATCGGTCGGTGTTCCTAACCTCAATAGTGTTTATGTGTATTGTATTGTTTTGTAGAAAGTGTCAGCAAAGGGACAATGCCAATTTATAGAGAAAGTATATAATATTCTTCTCGTACAATATAATTGATGTTCGTTCAAGCATTGAACTCAATGAATACCATAACCAAGAAATCACAGTGCATTGGTAAACCATGAAAGTATTTGAATGAATTGAAAAATGTTATTCATAAATAATAATGCATAAACATCAAAGTTTTGCATGTTAAATTTGAAGGACTTCAACTCCAGTACCACTGAACTTTTAGTTTGTAAATTTTCAGATTTATCATGTCATGTATCGTAAACAATCCACTCTTCTGAAAAACATCAAAATTTTGTCTCTACAAGAGTACTCTGTGCTAATAAGTTTTATGGATTCAACATCAGAAGTCTCATTTTTTTATTTTCCATAATAATGACAAATTATTAGTCATATGTGAAGCCACTGAAATATCAAAATATAGCTATATGCACTAATCGCAAGCTGAAAATTACATTGTTTTGTTTGAAAGTTATTTTATAAGAAATATTATGAAGAATACATAGATCTTATACTTTTGCTAACTAGACTCAATGTTTAAATGCTGTATGTACTTCAATTATCTTATTTTTCATCACAGATAAAGCTATAAAGCAACAAAGTAGAAATTGTGAAGTATCTGAACACAAATCGAGGAAGGCAATGTTTACATCTTGTCAAATTTAAGGATTGCTGTATTAAAAGCTTCGTCGATCGAATAGTTTTGTGGGGTCCGTTTGGTCGATATTGCCGAAAAAATGCTTCTCAAGTATTGTTTACGTTGCTGAAGATAGTTCAAACTTAACATGCACAATCATAATACTTACGTATTATTACAGAACTAAAATTGTTTTGGAATTCATAATATGACTTGCATTTTTTAAGTGTCAAACCTCTCATTTGAAAGCGTTCGAATACTTTTCTGGCTTACCGTATACCAAACCATAAGCGAAATATAATCGCGAATAGACTCTGCAAGACTTTGTAAGTACTCACCGATGGTATAATACTATAATAGACAGATCCGCAAGCGCATCTTCAGATGTGCTTGAAGTCTCAGATAAAGTAAGTTTTCGTTTCCTATAGTGGCAGAACGATAAAGCGAAGAGAGAAAAAAGATGGCCGCCGGTGAGCTGCCATGAAGGGGCTGCGTCGCTCGTGCTCATGGAAATGGGACGTTGCGACATCCGAAGTGTCACCGTGGTGCTTGTGAAGTGTCACAAAGTGTTTTCGAAGTGACGTCCCGTGTTTTGTGCCTCTCGAGCTCGGGATTAATTCTCCGCGATGGCATCCGACGGGTGAGAAAGAAATTTTCTGCTTTTAGGAAAATGGAAATACGACAGGGTACATACAGAGTGGCTATGTTTCGTAGATCGATAGTGAATTTTTTTCCCAGTGACCCGTCCCAGTTTTCTTGGGAAAGAGCCTCGACTTATTTCTCAAACACAATTGTGTTATCTCGTGCACTTTAATGTCGCTATACTGACTGGGTGGGTCTTGTTTTCCGCGATTTTTTTCCATTTGCACCTTATGTGAATTATCGAACCCGTGTGTTCCTGCCTTCTCTCTATCTCTGTCACTACTTTCATTTTTTTTTTTTGCTTTCTGTGTACAACTATGTGTGTAAGAATGTATTTCTGCTGCCTATTTCAGTCAATTAAAGGGATAGCATGACATCAGACAGTTGCTCGTATTGCGGCTAACATTCCTATCAATTTATGGTTATATGGGGGGTGGGGGTGAACACCCTTTTATTATGACAAAACTTTATTCGATTTCATATATTTCTTTTCGACGTTTCGATTTTTCACCTTGCTACAGTTTCGATTTTTTTCATTTTATAGTTATCTTTTAAGACAAGAGATTTAATAAAGCACCTTTAGCGTGTGCTGCGTTTTGCTGCAGATTCGGCAGAATGCTATTGATTAATTATTTATAACTTCCAGTGCAGTCTTGTTATTTTTATTTCTTAATTTAAAAAAATAAAATTCATACGCCGTCTAACACGATTATAAACGCCGTATAACGCGAATTTAAACTATGCAGTAAATGTATTCCAACTATCTACGTGTTTTTCATTTTGTTGTACTATTTTTAGAATTTTTAATTATAGTAATAAAAAGGAGTAACAAATTGATCACGTATTCACCCTACATACTTTAACGATTGGGTATATATATATAAGACACTTTATCAGTTTTAAATATCATGATTTTTCAATATATTGAAAATGAAAAGATTTTTTAAATAAACTTTTAATTAAAGCAATCCAGTGGTTCGCGATTGTGCAAAACTATTTTGTTTGAAATATTGAAGAGTAATTAAAATGTATACTTTAATAAAATTCTTAAGCAAAATTGAAACATATAATTACAAAATAAAACATTAACAAATTTTGTATAATTACAGTAGAATGGAATGGGTGGAAATTATAGACCCTCGCACCAGAGAGCATATGTATGCCAATCTTACAACCGGAGAGTGCGTATGGGATCCTCCACTTGGTGTACCAGTGTAAGATATAAATATTTTCTCATGTAAAAATCAATACAATAGACAAATTATTGTGTTATAGGAAATGTGTTATATGAAAATTTGTCTCATATAATATGAATAATTTATATAGCAATAACAAAAGTTACCATAATATCTTCAATAGTATTTCAAAAATTTGTGAAAGTATAGATTCTACACTATTTCACATAGAACATGTATTTATGATCCAGTTTAAATCACTTACAGATGTTAATAATATAAAATTAACATTTCCAACAAGGAGAACAATTAATTGTTTAGAATCAGGTTGTCTTTCTGATCTAATTAACTAAGTGAAAGTTATTCTCATATAAGGATTTCCTTTTATAAGTTAGGAAGCATTTATAATGGACAAGATTTCTATTTTGATGTGTGCTTTGAATTTAAATGTTTTGTGTGGCCTGAATTTTGTAACATTCAAAATGAATTCTCTTATTTACATTAAATAATTTATCTGATTCTACATATTTCGGTGTACAGTTCACTGCTGTGCTTTTAATTACAGGAAAAAAACAGATAACAATCAGTGGTGGGAATTATTTGATCAGAATACCTCACGCTTTTATTATTATAATGCAACTTCCCAACAAACCGTGTGGCACCGTCCAAGTGATTGTGACATCATACCTTTAGCAAAGCTTCAGGTAAGTGATTCACCTTTGATAACAAATATCTTATTTGGAAGGGTGTGTCATAAGAATATGTTGAATTTTGGATAATGATACAAAATCTGTTAACATTGTATATCTTACATATTGTCATAGCATTTGACTTATTAAAGATATACATTCTGTTGGCACATGTGTGTGCATAATGATTTATAAGTATTTTTCTACCATGATATATTAATGTAGGCACTCTGTAGAGTGTTGGAGATATAAGTGTGCATGCTGTCTGCTCTCCTTTCAGCTATAAATAGACGTTTGTAGAGAAGAGAAAAAACTCTGCTTTCATTATACTGTACAACAAGTCTGAAAGTCTTTTAAGATTACATTAGTTATTTACATTGCAGAGATACAGTAACAATATTTGTTAATTAATTAGGGATTATGTTCACAAAAGTTATACTTTTTTATTTAATTTCTAGTGCAAATCATATTCTTTATCTATAAAAATAGCATAAATTTTTATTTCTAATAATCATGACAAAAGTATTTCGATACTTAATATTCGTAAAATTTTAATTGATAGATAATATTCTACTCATTTTTTTTTTATTAATATTACACTTATACTATTATTACAAATTAATACAAAAAAGATGATTGTATCTTGTTATGTAAAAGCTTATTCAAAATGTATGGTAGACATTAAAACAGAACACAGAGCCAGCGAGCAGCAGTGGAATCAATATTCAAAAATCAACTGAGCCAAGAAAGAAAGAATCTGTGTCAACACAGACGCAAACGCCTTCTGTTAGTCGATCAACGCGGTTTAGTCATCAGGAAAGTTCTAATTTGTCTTCTTCATTAGTAAGTTTACTACTCTAGAAATATTGTGTAATAGGAAATAAATATTACAGTGTATTCTTCCTTATAGCAAAGCGGTAGTGTAAATAAAACACGTACAACTGGTGTCGGTGTAGATATTCAAACGTCTCCTCCTTCACCATCGCCATCTTCAAGACGACATCATCATCACCATCATCACCATAACAACAGGCATCATAGGCATCATGAAGTACCCACTGCACGCCGTCAACATAATCATTCCCAGGACTCCGGACGTTCCAGCGACAGTTCTGTTTCTCACAGTCGAACGTCTTTGGAATCGACTGGGTATCGATTATTGGATTCTCCACACCGTCATCATCATCGCCCTGCTCCTCAAACGCCAACAAATCAAGCACAATCTTCCCCCAGACAACACAGTGGTACTTTGGAAGCCAGAGGACATAAAAGCGGAACCTTGGAAAGTGTAAAGAATCAGAAGTCGGTTCCGTTAGGTGAACCACCGCCGTTAGGTTTATCACTTTCGACGAGTACTCCTCTTTTTAAGAAGAAGACATTCATCGATTCGCAACGCGAGGGCAGGGCAGGGAATTTAGAATTGGAGAAGAATAAAAATGGTAAGAATGTGAGTTAAATTTCGTAATTCTTTAAGTTGCACACTATTTTTATTCGACTATATAATGGAACAAAAAAAAAAAATAAAACAACGTTATTCGTATTTGTAATATTGCAGGTAGAGAAAGTAGTAGAGGTTCTTATGGTCCTGAACCAAGCACTTCGCCATATCGTGATTCGTTGATGGAATCTAGAATATTCAGGCAGGAAATGCCTCCGTACCGTCCGCCAGAAGTTCAATTGAGTCATAGTTATAAATCGCAGGGTGAGAAATATGGCTCCCTGGTGGAAAGTAGTAACCGTTATCATAGGGAAAGGGAGATTCATCATAGAGAGAGAGTAAATAGTTTGGACAAAACGAACTCATCAGCCTTTTATCCAAGTTCCATGCATCCGCGTAATATGAATAAGCAAGATAATACTGGTAGTATAGGAAGAAGGCATCATGGATGCTCGGTGTCTCTTTCGGAAGCAAACGTTAGAGACATGTATGGTGGGATATTAGTGGAGAGGAACGAACCGTCTAAAAGCCTCATAAGGGGTACAGGTATCCTAAGTAATGCATCGAAACAAAGAAGCCTTGAGGTTGTAGAAAGAGAGAGAGAGCGTGAACGTGATAGAGAAAAAGAGTATAGAAGAAATACAGCATGTAATAATTCGTTGGACTGTAAGTCTATAAATCGTACATTAAGCATAAATCTTTTTATATTTTATCACAGAAATATATATAAATTTTGTTAAGGTGGGTTGCAACCGTTAGCTCGCAGTTACAGTTTTGTACAACAACAAAAGCAGCAACAAAAGCTGCAGCAACTACATCAACAACAATCAAGAAGGAGAGATAGAGACGATGACTCCATGCACGAGCGTTATTTAATAAGTCAAAGTCACGAGCAACCCAGACAAAGACTTAGCAGTAACACTAGCAGTAGCAATAGTAGTAACAGTAGCAGTAATAGTGCCGTAGGCGAAGAAACAGAAGGACTTACGGAAGGGGACGACGGCAAAAAGAAGAAAAGTAATGGTAATCCGAGTCCGCCTCCGTCTCCGTTTTATGGAAATCTGTTATCCGACCCAGATCACTTGTTGCCACTTCAGCAATATATTCTCCAACAAGCAGAACTCTCAGGTATGTAATCATCTTTCAATTTACTTATTTCAGACTTTTACAGCTCGGTTCTTCATTAACTGAGACTTCCGGGTGTAAAGACTTCTTCGGGTAAGATATGTCCGACATGTCGCCAACATTGCAGCAAGCTTTTTCAGGGTTCAATCACAACAAGGAGATACTGGCAATGTTGGCTTTGTTTGAAATACAATATTTGAAGTATTGTGATTTTCTCCTGTATAGATAATATATTCTTCTTGAGTCTGATAAGGTTAAAATAGAATTTTGTGGTATCTTACGTTATTAATAAATTATTAAATTTTTTAGGTTGTTACAAGTTCGGAGATCCTTTGTTTGTAGAAGAAGGTGATGATTCCTTAGACGAAGAAGGTGGGAGAGGTGAAGGAATTGGCGGAAGAGGCGATTACGATTCTGACGATCAGTTCGCAGATGACGAGGCAGCGAGCAACCAAGGTGACTCTTCTAGCCAAGAGTACCTTGAAGATCACTATGCAGGTTAATTGATGTTGTTCGCGCAGAAAATGGCTTGTATTTGTATTTATTATGACTTGTATTATATTTTTAATCATTATCGTAGATTTGGGTAATTACGATGCGGCAGGCTTAGCGACTTATTATAACACTGCTGATACGCTCACAAGGCCGCAAGTACGACCTCCGTCGCCGCCAAATATCGCTTCGCATACAGAGGCGCGTGATAGTGTGACGACTACGAGACAAGCAACACTTCCAGTATCTACTATAAGTTCTGTTCCTACCATTGGTATCGTTGATAACACCGACATCGACGAAGCAAGGCGAAACGACAGCGCAGGCGGCGGTGATATAGAGAAATACGCACAAGACAATCTTAATTTGAATTGTGGTAGACCGAAGGGACTGAGATTATTGTTTCGGAAAAAGTTCAGCGTTCGAGACATTCTCAGCTGGTCGAAAGACCCTATACCACAACCTATGCTTGTAGTTGTGGATGGTGAGAAATTGCTCAAGCGAGAAGCTTGCAATTTGTTTAGATTGGTACAAGTGTACATGGGTGATCGGAAAGCTAACATGGGAATGACATTAGACACCGTAGCCATGGACATTGTAAATACTGCATTCTCAAAGCCACCGTTGCGGGATGAATTGTATGTCCAGATCTGTAGACAAACTACAGAGAATCCACGGAAGGAAAGTTTACGCCGAGGTTGGGAATTGATGGCTGTGTGTTTGGCTTTCGTGCCACCTAGTGCGACATTTGAGCCTTACCTCGAGGGGTACATGAACAGACACCGTGATCCCAATTTTCAATTCCCGGAAGTGGCCAAGTGGCCAATTCATGTACAAGTTAGTCATTACGCAACCGTCGCCTGCCGACGCCTACAACGAATTGGAGCACACGGCAAACGACAACCCCGCAAAGCTACCATAGAAGACATTGATCAAGCAAGAGTATGTTCCCTTGTTACACATTTTTTTTCTCATGAAATAGATATTAATTCCGTTGTTTTGTTTACCATAGATTCAAATTTTTCGGGCATCCATGTTCGGTGCAACGCTTTCAGAGGTGATGGCTTTGCAAAGAGACAGATTCCCAAACCGAGAGTTACCATGGATACAAACTACATTAACGCGCCAAGTGTTGGCGCGAGGCGGTATCCTAACCGAGGGTATTTTCAGAGTATCCGCGGATGCGGATGAAGTGAGCGCTTTGAAAGCATGCTTGGACAGGTTCGAGGATGGTACAATTTTGGCAGCTTCTCAGGATGCACACGCGCCTGCTTCTTTATTGAAATTATGGGTTCGAGAGCTCTACGAACCTCTGATACCTGATTCCTTTTACACGGAGTGCGTATCGATGAGACACGATGACGCTGAAGTTTCTGCAGCTAATGTTGCCGCGCTTGTAGACCGACTACCTGATTTGAATCGTCGAGTTCTGTGCCACCTAATACGGTTTCTACAGGTGAATATTTTCTCAGTTACTTATATTACCTGAATAAAATATTTGAGGCTTTTACGACCTCTTCATGGTTGATAATAATTGACGCTCCCCGGTGTCATGTTTGTTTCTAGATATTCGCGAGACCTGAAGTGGTTGTTCGTACTAAAATGGACGCAAACAATTTAGCAATGGTGATGGCACCAAATATATTGCGGTGTACCTCTCAAGATCCCCGCGTGATTTTGGAAAATGCACGCAAAGAAATGGCTTTTGTTCGTACTCTAATCGAGTCATTAGGAACTGCTTGGGTCGATGATCTTCACTGACCTATTCTACTACGCTAGAATAAAGAACGCTCTTGACTACTATGCCAAATGAATCAGTTGTATATTCACAAGTATTGTTAGTTATTTCACTGTTCTCAATTATCTTCTCGATATTACCTTGTTTGGTTATTATCACCAGCCCCATAGTCTTATGAATGTTCGTAATGGTAATTTAGTGCTAAAGTCTTATCAAGCTAATCACCAGACTCGCTCCTCATTTTCTATTTATTATTTATATATGCAAATTATACGTTATACAAATAGAGACTATTAGATTATATTATGTGTATCTCTATATATCATATTACAAACAGGGTGTCTTAAAATTACGGTACAAGTAGAAATCGAAAGGTTGTTCCGTCGCGAAGAACATAAAACGTGGAAAGTTCGTTGGTTCGTTTATGTTCTTCGTGACGGAACAAAAGTACTTTACCACTTTGTTGTCCGAGGTTTTGTTTTTACAATGCAAGCAATTCAAATTTAGGAATTAGAGATCTTTTAATTTTAACTACTTGTATCCCAAAAACGACGTCTCAGCTTACAAAACGGTGGAGGATTTTTCGATTTCTATTAACTCGTTGTGGTTCTATGTCGAACTAGGTTCGACAAAAAAATGTACTAAAATCAGCAAATCTGGATCCTAAAGAGTTGTCTCGCAATTTCTGAACATCCTGTATTTTACCAACCCTTGTTACCGCGTTGACCAAACACGAACGGCTTTTTTACTCGATTATTGTTGAATCTCATGTAAAATAAAAATCATGTGTTATCGTGTATAGCTGCACTCCACGATGATCTTTTTGTATCAGCGATGAATCGACGTGTACAATGTTTATCGAGGAGTAAAATTGCAAAAGATTAGCAAGCTGTACAAGTGTGTTTCTTTTCCTGCAGTTTCTGAACAATTATTACTACAAAAAAGATGGTCATACTTTTTTTTTTATATAAGAACGTATGCCGTCAGAAATTCTAGTTTTCAATTACAATGCTGTCATTCTATTATGGCATAACAAATCTATATTTCATATTTGAGATGTATGTATAAAGATTATTTCTAATACTTGAGATGTATTAACAATATGCAGTACACAAAGTATTTCGTATTTGCTTACAGCCGCTGTCTTACTTCTGGTTTGTACAATTCTAATCGACGTTACCAGTTAATTATGTATTAAATATAGTATTTAAATTATACAAAGAAAATATCACAAAAGGTTGTCGCTGTTATGCTGCAACAAACACTGTTTCTATGTAAATATCATATAAAAATTGGTACAATTTTTTCCAGAAACCGATGATATTCACTCGCAGAATACTTGCTTTTACATAATACTCTAGCATTATCTTACATTAATTACACATACCCAATTTTATATACAAGATGTACAAAGTAATCGATCATATTAATACTGCCGCAGATCACACATTACGCATGCCTTCGTTGATCTAATAAGGGAAGGCTACGATTTCTAAGCGGTACCAATGTCATGATGTAGAGTACAATGAGGATAAATAATCTGTAGAGTATTCGCCATATCTGGCCAACTATTTTTATAAAAGAAAAAAACATCGATACAAAACATCAATATTGAAAATGAAAAATTTCAATATCAACGAATCGAGACAATACTGGGCACAAGTGAAAGCTTACTTTTTACACTTTGTTTATACTCATCGACCCCTGCATTAAGCCTGTTACTGTTCAAAATGCGTTTGTTTTGATCATAGCCTCCTCTTATAAGCTAACATTGCTTTTTTGGAAAACCGTCTGAACATTCTTTCGAAACAGTGACCACTCGACAATTCTACAAACGGATTTACTGTGGATATAGTACTTCTTGTCTCTTTGATTTTTGTGTAGAAAGTTTTCTGTGGCATTTAAAAATAATTACGTAAATGTTTTCCATTCGAAGAACGTACTATCGTGTATAAGTTTTTTAATTTTGTTTTAGAAATTTGTGATAACTCCCCTTACACATATAAGTATAAATATAAATATTGTTTCGAATTAACTCTTATCGAAAATACATTTTTCTAAATACACATAGACACTGTTTTACGTTTCGTAGTGTAGCAAATATGTTCAAAATTAAAGTGTTGCGAAGTATACAATAAGATTACTTCAACACGAATTTATCTTGATAGGTCATACAATTTTCATTGTTCGTGCTACAAATGTTCAATTATCGTATTTTCTACAGGAACAGTATTAAGTACCTTAAGCCAATAATCGAAATCACTTTCTAGTAGATTCAAAGTGATATGTCAGCAGTTATCAATGAACGATGCTGTGGATCCACTAGCAATTTCTGCATACTCTTGTCTGCTCGCTGAGCAAAGTTTACTGGTGAAGTCTGCTTCTCTTTTTCTGTATATACGGAAATAGAGTAGGTAAATGTGATCACGGTAATTTTTCACCTTCTAGAATTACGTAACTTACAGAACGGCTTTATAGTTTTGTAAAGAAAGAAACTTACCCTCTACCAGGAAGCTCCATGACATCAACGGTGACGCTATTCACGTAAAGTCGATCATTGCACCAGAAAAAGCATAATGATCGCGGTTGCAGCACGTCCATGTCGTATGTCCATGAAAGCTCAACTCGCCTAATTTTCCCAATATCTCCTGTTGCCCCCGCTGGATGGGCGACCACCATTCGCACTGTCGATCCATGTTCCAATTTCATGTAACCACTACAAGTTACAGATGAAAGAACGTGTACAGTTTATTTGTTTGTTTTTTTTTTTTTTTTTTTTTAAATATCTCTCCCTACCGGAGAGTGGTCACAATCACTTTGCAAGCGGGGATGCTTGGTTTTAAGTGGGAACTGCGTTGCTTAGCATATGAATAATTTTAAACGTAACTCGTATTTTATGTTGTGCATTGTGAATAGGTTTAGAAAATTTGCTTGTTACAAAAGCTGAAATTTTGCTCGAGTCTGATAGCCAAAGTGTCTGAAAACCTAAAAGGTCTACTTTTGCATTCACGAAGGAACGAAAATCATTTTTACTCGAATAAATTTAAATGGAGTCGTTCAATTGATTAAAAGTATAAAATCAGGCGAGAAAAAGAATGCTACCTGGGAGTGAGATCGACGTCACGCATTATACCATTTTCAGCTCGAAGAGTGACTTTCATGAAACCTTGAACCCAGCTTTCTGCAGTCGGTGGACGTGCGAGGTTTATAGTAATTCTATAATGCCTTCCTGAAATAGAGAAGAATTAACAAAGAATGATTAAGATGCCAAGAAATTAGAATAAAAGTAATTAATAGTAATATTGGTAGATGAACACGTTGAAGGACAGACTAGTACTAGCGAATATTTCTAAACGGTTTGAATTTTGTTTCAAACGAATTCTTATCGAAGATATATTCGTATTGTCAATTTCTAAGTCTCTATTTTTTTGAAAGTCTCAAAGATGTATAAAAATAGATATTTCTATCAGTGAAATCACTTCATCATTCGTACAAAAAATGGAGAACTTGTATAAAAATGATTTTATGTTGGTCGTAAGAAGTTTGTTAAGGGCAATAGTTTAAAAAGTAGTGGACTTGTTGATTACATTGGTTTATCAGTGAAATTGTTACTGCAAGTTTCTAATCGATACATACGTAGGACAGAGTTAAATTAGCTTCTTGACACACGGCAATTTTCCTCGCCACGATAGTAGGGTGAAAGCAGCCGGTCGCAATTTATGATATTAAATAATTGCGAGAAAAGTCTATACCCGAACGGTTCACGAAATATTTAACGAACCTTTGAAAATATTTAAAAGGAACTCTAACGACCGACATGACGGCGACAAATAGTATTTCAACCTGTTTTGTGTCTCTATACTTTTAGGAGACGTTCACTAAACTTCTGATGTAACTCTTGTGTAAATATATGACGACTTCACTTTCTTCTTCGACTGTATGAGACTATTAGAGAAACTTTTATACTTTCTAATGTTCGTTTTGCGTGCTTAATATTTACCGTATATAGATCAGTGGTGTACAATCTTTTTCCTTACAGAGCCACATAAAATACTATATTTTCCGCGGGTCGAAAGTGGTTCTAAACCAAATTTTCAACGTTCGATAGTTTAAAAATGAAAAATCACGTTTCTGCCCAATTTCTCTTATGCTGTGTATCGTACGACCGGATGTAATTATTACGATAGAGTATTTTTTGCGGACAAATAAACAAATTTGAATAAATTATCTCGCACGTTAATTTCCTGGCTCTCACGTTAAATCAATTTTGAACGATAACGTTCTTTTTTTGCGTAGCGATAGAAACAAGTAAATTTATATTTCGGTTAAAAATAAATCGTAGTTCTCTACCGAGTTGAACCCTCGGGGGTTGTAGCTATGTTTGATTGTAGCTACAAGTACGGAGCTTAGCGATCCCGAGGTACCCGAGCTACAGGGAGGGCCAGTGGATAAACAAACGCAAAGTAATGCAAAGCAGGAACTAAATAAATGTAAAGAATGAATAAACGCAAGACTGGTATATTGGAAGTCGCAAAGTCAAGTTATACGATTTCGCATAAATAAAACACGATAGCAAACACGATAGAGTTTATTTGAGAATAAAGCCAGAAACAAAGGACCCACAAAAAGTTGGAAATTTTCATAGCGGAATTAAACAAAAAATGATAAAGATATATTGATAGTACTCACTGCAGTAAGGGTCATCCTTGCCAGTGGTGAAAAAAAATTTCGAGCCCAGCAACGACAGAACATCCTGGCCCATTGATTGCCTCCTAACTAGCGCAGGACTGCTGTCAGCGTGATATCCCATGATACCGCAGCTGAGGCTGTTGTTGCTCTTGCAAGAGAAACATTCGCCCCTCAGAAAGCTGGCGTAACTGGAGCATTCGTGGGCTACGTAGTGGCACCTCGAGTTGATGCTCTCGATGAAGAGTTTTATGGCACGCACGTGATTGCAAGCCACCAACACCCTCGACGCCTCTTCTAGACCCTCTCTTATCAGTGTCAAAGGCAGCGAAGGAGTTGTTTCGCTCAGATCTGTACAGCCTGGCTGCTCTTTGCCGTTGTTGGGGTAGAAATCTAGGTGACCGCACGGCTGGCTCATCCCGTATCCTGGAAGTCCTTATTGTATACTAAGTTAATATAAATATGCGATGTGAATTTAATGATTTCATAGATTCTCAGAGCTTTATCTTTGCAAGTTCGTGGATGGTTATTGAATTTTCGTAATGAAAGTAATCGAAACATGTTCTTTCTTAACACTTTACCAGTCAGTGGCGTTTGGTCATATAATTGAATTTAATAACGCTCTTCATTTGCACAACATCAGTATTATACAATATTTATTTTATTTATTGCAATCTTTTTTAGATCAATATTTATACGTATCGTAATTTATATAATGATAGGAGCGTACAATGCTATCGTACTAGTAATAGATAAGGATGGTATTGCTTGCCATAGCAAAAAAAAAAAAAAAAAACGATTAATAGGCTACTGGTTGGTAAATCGTTAAATTTTTATGAATGTTTGTTATTGTAACATTGGCGATTTTACTGTCTATAAAGGTTTCTCTTACCTAAGAAAAAGATGCTTTTACCATCGGTGTGGATGACATCAACCAGTTTTGCATCCGTGTAATCGAGCCTCAGATGACTAGGCATTCCTTGAAAATAGGGCTCTGCAGGATCCAATCCGGTGATGCGACCAATATTTCCACTTAATTTTTCACCCGCGTAACCAGCTGTGTGCGCTCCCAAACTATGTCCGATTAGATGTACATCGTTCGGATCCAGTCTATAATTTGTCTGTATTTCACAGAAGGACAATTACTTTCATTGCTTTTTTTTTTTTTTCAATTGCTTTTTAGGAAGAAAATTTACTCCGTCTAATTTGCTGCTCAACTCAATGACAACGCGTAAACGTCTTTATTTACCGTGTTTCTATATTAAATATTGAATAGGGTCGATTAAATGTATCCTTGATTTTTTTATTTTATTTTTGAATTTTATGCAGTGTTGCGTTTGTCACGCTTAAGACGCTAAGCACGCGGAGCACGCAAAAATTGGCATTACAGTACTATCGACTTAAACTCTGTAGAAAACTACAATTCACTGCGATTCGCAATACAAATTTACTTTTATTACAAATTTACTACATTACTAAGTCATGTACATGGAAGATACGTTCGTGTTATGTACGGGACATTATTTTCATGTCATGGAGAAAAAATCAACATGCATGAAATGCCGAATGTTACATGGGCAGTAGTACTGTTTTAAAATGAACTTGAACGATCTGAAAGTCCATCTGAAAGTAAAGTGAAGTAATAGCTTCTTCTGAGATAGTTTAAAAAATAATTAAAATACAATTTACCTGTAAATGTTTGATGAGATTGGCTATTTCAAGGCCAACAAGTCTAGTGTTAGCAGTTGCCTGGGTGTACAGTGGCAGGCTACCTCCAGCCCAGTCGACGATGATAACATTGTAATCATCGTGCTTCAGTAATTCGTTCCTCATCTCCTACGGTTAATAAAAATTCAATTAACGTTCTCTTTAAAATAGCGATCAAATAAGATATTGCTTGCAAAAA